CACACACACACACGCATGCGTACACTCACGTAGGCTGATACCAAACCACACAAGCACACACTGTCTCTCATGGCAAAACAAGTTTCCCCAATTTACTTCATTAACCTGCAGAGAGATGAATTGCAGATGGATGCTGCAACTGTTTGAAAATCATTGGAACTTCACAATTATTGAGTTGAAACAGATTTCAACAGATGACACACTGTTGGCTGCTGTCGTCATATATGCAAGAGCCTAATTACTTAAAACAAGCTTGATTCCGCAAGGCAGCTCCAGGAGAAATACATATAAAATGTGCTGTGTGATAGAGCTCTGTGCAAATGTTTGATGTGTGACTACATCTCCAGGTTTACATTAAAATTACAAAAAAATGTGCTTTGCTGTGGCGGAGTAAATCTCGTCAACGAAATTATTGATGAAAATTTTTGTTGAGAAAGGGTTATGGATTTCACAAAACGGAAAGAGACATCATGATATTTAAAATTTAATTTATTCCAACTAAAACACACTGTTGATAAAAATATGAAGAGAAAAGGATATTAACAAACAATACAAGTACAATACAATACAGAAATATATTGTATAATAACAAATAAAAAATATAAATAAAGAGCATTAAACAAGCTCTAAAACAGAAAGTTAATAACATCCTCTAAAACTGCAACTTCGGAAAAGTTTACTCATATTTATTCAATATATACTAAATAATATATGCTATTACTTCAGACTCATATTGTATCTTGTTTATGCTGTTAAATTTTTAATACTATGTCCGGAACATCTCAAAAATGAAAATCTGGTAAAAGTTTGGTCTTTTTGACAGTTTGACATCTTTTCATTGACCGAGATTATTTTTTATTGGCACGAATTATATGCCATTTCATTATAAATTATTATATATGACAAATAGAAATATTTTTAAAATGTAATTAAATATAAGTATAAATTTTAATTTAAAGGACATTTATTGTAAGACAAAAAAATGGAGAAAAAAATTACAGAAAATTACTGAAAACAAAATTTGATGACAAAGGGTTTTGGTTTTTATAAAGCAAAAAAGGACATATGATGATATTTGAATAATTCCAATTAAAATGTACAAGATATTAATAAAAAATAAATTGACAGAATTAATTCAGAATGTGTTCAAATAAATAGTAAAATAATAGTAAAAAAAAAGCATTAAACAGGCTCAAAAAAAAACAAAAAAAAACTTAATTTTGTTGACAAAAATGGTAATTTCACTCTAAATTAATATCTATTGCATGAAGAAATACTTAAAAACTTAACAGCCATTTTTGGACAACAAAAACAAAAAAATGGTGAAAAATAAATAAATAAATACTTCAGTGTGGGATAAATTTATGCTACTGATTTACCCCTCGTCCCACAGATTTCAACAAAACAATCCCAAAAAGAGCAAACAATAAAATGTATCCACAATTTGAGCAGACAGTCCCATCAGCTCAAGGACTTTCATCTCCACCACACTTAATTAGTAGCAAAGACTCCTGCTATTCCACTATGGAGCCGGGAATAAAGACCCACACATTTCAGCCTCAGCCTACAGGGCTGAAAGATACAGGAGGGACCCGTACATGGCCACTGCAGGCAGGAAGCCAACCTCTCCGAGTGACTGAAGAGATGCCAAGCAGCAACCAGACAGAGAGAACGAGTATGAATGACAAGGAAAATGAACAAACAACAGAAGAAAAAAAAAACATAATTGCGGTGATGGACAGACATTATGACAGATGGCGAGTGGTCTCTGACACACACCATACAGCTGGTACTCGTGAAATGCTGTTGAACCAGGAACGCTAGGATGAATGCAGGTGCATAAAAAACATGGCCAAAAGACACACGTGTGCATGCCTCACCTGGCCTTCCGGGGGTCTGTGGTGATTTTCAATATGAAGCCTACACCTCATTAAACTCTAGGGCCAAAACAGTTTGCTCCACTAGTGTTATCTGCATGGACTGATTCCTGTTTCCCTCACCTCAGCTCACACAAGGCTCGATCAATCACTCCATTCACTCTTGGCTGGAAACACAGCTGCCGGGCCAGGCTAATTTAACAGGGAAATGGAGCTCTTTTTGTGCTCCTGCTGGATTCTGAAACTTAGTTGATCATCCAAACCCAATGATCGTTAAACAGGTGTAAACAAGATTGGCAACTCCAGACTCTCAGAAAAGGCTGCAAGCTCAGTAAGTATAAAGATTTCGGTCCAGTTATAAAGGTTAAAGTCCAATTACATTAATGTCACAAAGTAAATATATAAAAATCTAAGAATGCCAATCAGAATCAAAAATTCTGAAGAATCGATTAATTGAAACTGATGAATCGATTGGGGTCGGTAAGACAGCAATAAAAAAAATAATTAAATAATAGTGTATAAGCATTTTTACTGTCACTTTTGGTCAAATTAATGTGTCCATGCTAAATAAAGGTATTAATTTATTCAAAAAGGCATTCTTTTATTTATTTTTAAAAAATCTTACCGATCCCAAATTTCTGAACAGTTGTTTTGCAGGTTCAATTGTGAAAATTTACTCCACATAGTGTGTCAACATACCCCACATAGTGTGTCAACATACCCTGTCAAACATCACCATTTTCCTGGGCAGCAACAATGAAAATATTTAATAGTTATTTTTGTAGCCAAGAATTTATGCTATCTGTTTATGCTGAAATTCACTTTCAAAAACCAACTAACCCTGAGAAAATATTTATTGGATTAAAAAGTGTGAAAACTAGTCCCTATATAGCGCCTCCTATATGGGTGTACAGTCTATGTTTGATATTCATCTTGATCAAACCCCAGTGTGAATATCCCATTTCACTTTCTCCATAACAATAAGTCGAAGGTTAATTTGATTTTTGAAACAAAAGTAAGCAAGGAAAAAGAAACTCACCAACAACAACAGCTGTTTAGGGAAAACACTAAAAGAATTGGTCTCGTTTGCTAGATTCGTACTGTATTTGCATGCGTATGGCTCCCCAATGACCCCGATGTGCCTTGAGAGCCATTTTATAAATGAAACTTCAAATTCTATTTCAGCGCCAACATTTCCAACACTTTCCCTCTCTCTCTTTCTTTCTTTTTTTTCACCCCCCCCCCCCCAACAAAAGAATACAACAGAATCCTGGCACAAATATTTCAATCCCTCCCAGAAAAATCGATCGGCAAGACACAAATCTCATTTCCATTGTATCTAGTTCTTCTTGCCTGGGACCCACATTACACCATCCCTTTCGAATTTGCAGCTTTCTGTCACTTCAAAGGACACGTCCCTCCATCTTTATCAGTCCTGTCCCCTCTAAGGTCCCCTCGTGCCTCGTCCCATTTTATCTAAGTGATGTAAAAAAGAGTGACGTCTTTCTTCCACTCTTTCATGTGAGAAGGAAAGCCCTACCACCACATGTAAATGCTGGGATCTTGGCTCGACACATCAGGACCTTGAATGACAGCTTCATTTTCCTGTCAGGAGGATCACAGTGGCGAGAGCCAGCTCTTCTGAGCCAGAATGGCTGTTCAAGTCGCTGTCCATCGCGAAACGCCTGTCTGCCTTTTCCCGCAGACCTCCCGGGGGAAAGTCTGATACGATAGCCAGGAAGAAGAGCTCATCAGACCAACCTAAATTGGGAGAGCACTGCTTTCCTCCTGGAAAAAAAAGGCAGCCCCCATATTGAAACCTGGCACTGATCAAAAATTAATCT